TTATATAAAAAGTATATTTTTTATTTTAAATGTGCTTTACGTGTTTATCTACGGAATAAAAGCCTCAGTTTAAACAGCTTGTAAATTTGTGCATTCATGCAAGGGCTCTTCAATTTCCGTTTGCCGTTACAGCAGCTCAAACAGTCATAAATATGTTGATTTACGGCAGGTAAACCTCAAAGCGGAGGCCCTTCCCCTGCAGAGCAACCACTGGGATTGGGGCAGCCTGTAGTGGCTGGGCTAGCAGAAGGCCTGCTGGACCTGGGAATAGTGAAGGTTTGTTATAAAAATAAATCTTTTTTTGGTTTTGTAGATTTTAAAAACCCAGGTTAGCTTTCAAGTTCATAACTTTGTGTTTATTTGAATGTGCAGGCAGTGTTTCTGGGCCATCAGGGTGTCGATGTTCATGCTGTATGTTTGCAAAACAAGCTGAGTCAGATGACAGTGGAGGAGAATGGCCTCAGCCTTCTGTATGGTCTGAGTACCACAGACAATAGGTTGGTGGCTTTTTATAATCTATTAGGATTTAAATGCACTTTTATATAGAGTTACTGTTACACTGCTAAAACATTTTCATTTTACTTAAAACTAACTAATCTCCTGACTGATGCCATTAGACTTTTGCACTTTGTGGCCCCCAATCACACGGCACAAATGTTCTACAAGGGCCTGTCAGAGTTGGTGAATGCAACCAGGAAATTAAAGAAGTTTCCTGACCAAAGGTTGCAGTGGCTGAGGAAGCAGTATGTCAGTTTGTATCAGGTAAACCTCTAAAAGTACATGTCTCTCTCCCATCAATTTTTTAATTATTATTTTTGACGCTGACTGTATTTTATAAGCCTGTAAAAATGTTCAGCACACAAAGAATGATGCGAGAGTTGGATGGATGAAAAGAAGTGGTGTGTGTTTAATTAACAGTAACATTTGTATGCGTCGTCTATTCTAGGAGGACAGCAGGTATGAAGGCCCTACACTAGCCCATGCCATTGAGCTTTTTGGGGGTCGGAGGTGGAATATGGGTACGGGTGGTGGAGACAAGGTTGGAGCCCAGAAGAACAACCCTCTGTCGAATGAGAAGGCCAAGAAGAAGAAGAAGGTTCTTGTCAGGGTCAGTAATTTGACCTTTTGCTGTAGTCATGGATGCTAATTTTAGATTAGGTTTTAGGTTTTTCACAGACTCATTTTTGACATCTGTCTTTTTTTCCCCCACACCTTTAACAGGGAGACAGTGGGGATGCAACCGATGACGAGATGGTTTCCAGGAAAACACGGAGCTGTAAAGAAGGACTGTATCGAAACGGACCAGAGTCTGACAGCATCGACCAAGAAGATCCAGGTGACGTTACCTCACTCATGGTAACATGTAGAAGTTACAAGGCCAGATCAGTTTAATTGGTGTTTTCTAGAAACCCGACCAAATGCTTCAGATCTTATAATTTTCTGTCTGTGTGATCTTTATTCACACTCAACACTCTTTGCCTCCACAGAAGACAGCATCCCCGGACCACTCTCCCTCTCATCCAGTAAAAGCCCCGGATTGCTATCCTCTTCCTCTTCTTCCTCCTCTTCCTCCAGCATGGCAGGGTCCAACCAGACCCGTCCGCAGTCTTCTCCAATCCTTTCGGGAAATGCTAAATCCCAGCCGGGGTATGTGAAAAATGACTGTAGCGGGGCAAGTTTGACCCCACTGACGTCTAACACTTTATTTTTTCCATCCCAGCGAATATATGTTTCCTTTTCTTTGGGGCCTGCAGGGCATGGAGCAGCCGATCGTGGCACGGCCGGGGTAAAGGCTGTTTCAAAGGCTTTCAGAATCTCATGATTTCTGACAGCACAATGAGCTTCATCGAGTTTGTCGAGCTTTTCAAATCATTCAGGTAAATGATCGGATCTTGTGTTTCTTACAGTTCTGGTGCGCTTTGATAAGATTTCATGTTTCCAAAGCAGAGGAAGAGATGTCGGCCGTGCTGGCTTCATTCAGTTCAAGTTCTGACTATTTAAATATAACTTCTGTTTTATCTAAAAATGCGTTTTTCCAGCTAAGTGTAATGACTCAATGTTCACATATGCTGTATGTCATATCACATACTGCACATGCCCTGTGCAGTGCTTTTGGAGCTCAGGCCCTCTTGTTATATAACTACTGTTCTTATCAATAG